AATATTGAATCAGCTCCTCACACGTGCACCACAATAAATTCCAAGTGGATCAGAGATTTAAATGTAAAAACAAAAAACAAAAAACCCCATACAAGTTCTAGGAGAAAACACAAGTGAAGATTTCCAGCTATGACTCAAAATCCATATGCAATAATTTAAAAGTTACTCAACTTGACCAAAAAAAATTTTATGGAAAAATACCATAAAGCATAGTAAAAAGTGACAATAACAAACTAGAAGAAAAAAGATTTCCAACTTATCTCACAGACGAACAGTTAATATCGCTAATATAAATTATAATACTTCTATATGAAGAGCTCCTACAAGTAGAGAAGAAAAAGAACCACCATCCTGTGAACACAGTTCCGAGAATAAAACCTGCAAACATCCCTAAAACATATGAAAAAATACTCAACCTTGCTCACAGTATAAAAAATGCAGATTAAAACTGCACTGAATCATAAAATAAATGTCTTGGGAATGTAACACACAGCATGGAGACTACAGGTAATAACACTGTGTTGCATATTTGAAAGTTGCTAAGAGAGTTGATCTTAAAGGTTCTCATCACAAGAAAAAGAATTTGTAACTGTGTGAGGTGACGCATGTTAACTAGACGTATTGTGATGATCATTTCACAATATGTACAAATACTCAATCATTACGTTCTATACTGAAACCAATATAATGTTATATGTCAATTATATCTCAATTTTTCTTAATGTAAAAAAGGAAACTATGGACTTTCTTGGTGGTCCAGTGGTTAAGACTCTGTGCTTCCACTGCACGGGGCGTGGGTTCCATCCCTGGTCAGGGAACTAAGATCCCGCGTGCTGTGCAGCGTGGCCAATAAATAAATAAATAAATAAATCTAGGGGGGATAATGTGAGGACTCCATATTTTTTTTAAAGAAAGAAAACTACACTGAGGTACTACTTCTTGTCCATCAGAATGTCAAAAATCCAAAAAATTTTCAGTATAACCTGTTGGTGAGGCTGTGAGAAAACACACACATGCGTGCTAGTGGAAGCACAAACGGACACAGCCCCCATGGAGGGAAGTTGGCAATATCTAGCAAAATCACACATGTATTTACTCTTTGTCCCAGCAATCCCAGTTGGAGGAATTGATTCCAAAAGAATCTACCAAAAATATAAAAGACTATTCACTATTCACTAGAGCACCCCTTATTGTAGCAAAAGATTGGAAATGTCCATCATGACTTTTTTTTTTTTTTTTTTTTTTTTTGCATTACGCGGGCCTCTCACTGCTGTGGCCTCTCGTTGTAGAGCACAGGCTCCGGACGCGCAGGCTCAGCAGCCATGGCTCACGGGCCCAGCCGCTCCGCGGCATGTGGGATCTTCCCGGACCGGGGCACGAACCCGCGTCCCCTGCATCGGCAGGCGGACTCTCAACCACTGCGCCACCAGGGAAGCCCCCATCATGACTTTTGAGTAAACAATGATACAGCCTCACGGTGGAGTACCATGTAGCAGTAGAAAGGAATGAGGAATATTTCTAGATTTGCTATGTAGTGATCTTCAGGATATATCATTATGTGAAAAAATAAAAAAAACCTAGGTGGGGGAAGTGTGTATTGTAGCTACTCTTATCCAAGAAGGGGGAGGATATGTATGGGGAGAGGGACGAGTGTACACACACACACACACACACACACACACACACATTTGTTTATATTTTAAAAATATATACACAGATACCTAAATCTGAATCTCCCCAGAGAGAGCCTCAGAAAAACATACAGAACAATGAGGAGAAAAAATAAAACCATCCTGAGCCCAGGCACTGACTGGGAGACAGAGGACACTAGAAGCTTCAAATTACCAATAAATTCAGCAGACAGCTCCTAGCCCACCCCGCAGGGGGATAAGTGGAGGGCACCCAGGAAAGCACGGAGTGGAAGGACAAGGTGACAGAAGGCAGTTAAATCACTACCCAAAGAGAAAGCCCCACTCTGACGGTGGGAAAACACTGAAAACCGATCTGACATTGGGAAATTGATAGGAGAGACTGAAATGTGTGCAGGACTCAAACTATTAGTCTCTCTAAGGCACTGCTCTGGAGGTCATTTAGAGAGCACTTAGAAGTGGGAGATGCCCCTTGAAGTGGAAATTAAAAGTCCTGCAGAAACAAGAGAAAATTACAAAAGAAGCAATGGCCCCTCTCACCAAAATAAATAAATTTTTTTTTAAAAAAAAAACTGCTTTGGAAGGCAAGATTTTTGCCCCTATGATTTTCATCCCCTGGTGTTATGCCTGTGAATATGTTATCTTAAACGGCAAAAAGGACTTTGCAAATGGAATTAATGTTATTAATCAATTGACTTTAAAATAGGGAGATTATCCCGCATTATCGAGTGGGTCCAAGGTAATCAAGTGTGGGAGACGGGGGGCAGAGAGATGGGCAGAAGAGGTGCATTGGAAGGGAGGCTTCACAGAAGTAAGTTAGGAGGAGAGTCAAAGAGACTGGAAGCAGGATTCCCTGGTGGTGCAGTGGTCAAGAACCCGCCTGCCAATGCAGGGGACACGGGTTCAAGCCCTGGTCTAGGAAGATTCAACATGCCGCGGAACAACTAAGCCTGTGTGCCACAACTACTGAACTCGCGCGCCTAGAGCCCGTGCTCTACAAGAGGAGCCAATGCAATGAGAAGCCCACGCGCCGCAACGAAGAGCAGCCCCTGCTCGTAGCAACTAGAGAAAGCCCACGTGCATCAATGAAGACCCAATGCAGCCAAAAATAAATAAATAAAATAAATAAATTTATTTTTTTTTAAATCCATTTTAAAAAAAAGGGATTGGAAGCAGGAGAGGGACTCTATCGTCCAGGCTGTCTTTGAAGGGGGACAGGCGCCAGGAAATGCCGGCTGCCTCCAGAAACTGAGAATGACCATGGCTGACAGCCAGCAAGGAGATGGGAACCTCAATCCTACAGCCACATAGCAATAAATTCTGTCAGCAACCTGCAGATGGATTCTCCCCTAGGACGTCCAGAAAGAAATGCAGTCCTGCCATACCTTCAGTTCAGCCTTGTGGAATTCTAAGCAGAGAAACCAAGCCACGCTGTACCTGGAATCTGACCTACAGAACCGTGAAATAATATATTTGTGTTGTTTCAGGCAACTAAATGTGTGGTAATTTGCTACAGCAGCCATAGGACACTAATGAAAAGCTCTATGTAAAGCTGCGCTTCTGTACGGCCAGAAGAGCGTGCTATCAAATAGGAAAGCCCAGCTAGGCACCCCGAACCTTTACCTCTGTATGGCTGTTAGCATAACTGATGCCATCCTGGGCTCGTTCAGTTCCTCCTGTCCTTTCACGGACCCTACCTAGGGCTGTACAGGGTAGTAAATCTCTTCTGTGTGGGGCTTTGTAGTTCATAGATATTGTTTAATTATGATGAGGTCCAGGTAGCCTCTATGCTCTGGTAGTCTCCAAACAATGACGAAGACCTTCCCTGACGTATTCCCACTGCGCACAAGACTAGTTACCCATTCATAAATCTTGACTTAAAAGTGCTCTTCCTGTTTTCAAGTACCTACCCCCACACGCTACGTAAATACAGAATTGTCCCAACGCCCCCTCGGTGCTGCGGAGCGCAGCTGCGAATGCTCCCGAATTGTCACCTGCCCAGTCCCACCCTGTGAGTACCGCACCCTATAATCAACGGATCCATTGATTATATGCAGCTGCCTGCCTCATTCTTCTGTCCCAAGGTATCTTAGTTTGGTGGGTACTTTTTGTTCCCTCCATCCTCCAACAACGTCTGCATTCAATTGTCACTGAGAGTGCAGAAAAACAAGACATTATGAAGTAAACAGAAGAGAGCAGATGTATCTAATCAAAGCTACCATAAGATACAGAAAATGAAAATCACAGCATTTCAGCAGAAGAAAATTCCCCCCAAAGCACAAGCACACGGAACCAAACGGATTAAAAATATAACTCAGCACCCCAGTGTGGACAAAGTTTCCTTAAACAAGCACTCACAGATGTGAAATTTTCAAATCAGAAATCCAAAATCTTGAAATGGACAAAAATGAGGAAGACGTCAAGTGGGACATTAACACAAAACGAGGAAAGAATTTTTTAAAAACTTAAGATATGTAGACCAAAGTACGAGAAAGACCAAATTCAACTAAGGACATAAAGGGTATTAAGAAAAGGCATGAAAACAGCCAAGAAAAATTTAAAACTAAAGACGTTTAAAGAGGAAAAAGTATCATCTTTATGCTTTGGCAAGATCCCTTGGTCGCCTGTGTTGAGTGGGGATGGGGAGGGAGCAGGTGGCCAAGGAGGACATTATGAGGCCCAGGTCACCCAGAGGATGCTCTGAAGGACATACAAGTGTCTGTCACAGATGGCAGAGCCTCATTCTCCTCTTGTCCTCACTCCCCAAGCTCAGCCAGGTAGCTGCCTTTCTGTTCCCCGAACCGCGGACCTCATTCCGGGCACTGGACGGTCTCTCGGCCCAGACCGCTCTTCCATCACGTCCCACCACCTCCACCAGAACGGCCCTGTCCCCACCATCTATGGTGGCCCCAGGAACTTCTGGGGTTCTGCTAATGCTCGGTGCCTCCGTCTGGGTGCTGGTTGCACAGGGCACTCACTTTGTGGAAATGAATTCAGTTTTGCATTTGTGATTTGGGCATTGGTACTTAAAAAAAAGTAAAAACATAAAAATAAAGCCGCCCCTACCTCCTGCCCCACCCCCGTTCTCTTCAGGCTACCGCTCCCTAGAGTCTCTTGCTTCTTTCTCTGCTACGTCGTTTCTTACACACACACACACTTCCCCTGGAACGCGAGCTCCAAGAGTGCAGAGACGCACCTGTCACCGTGACAGCTTCCAAAATAGGGTGTGTCATACAGCAGGTACCGAATACATACACGCAGGTGTCAAGACCGGGTGTGAAGGCCCCGCCCAGCGTTGCCTGCGTGTGGGGGCGGGGCCAGCGGGGGCGCGGCCTGAGCCCAGGGCCTCACCTTCCTCTGCATCTTCTCCAGCAGCTTGCTCTTGGCCCTCACTTCCTCCTGGATGGAGTCGTAGACGTTGAGCAGCACCCAGTCCCCGCTGTCCTCGTCTGAGTTCTGCAGGGCCGCCACCAACTGCTTCTTGCGCTCGTCTGCATACCGCTTCCGCCGCCTGTGCTTCTCCTTCAGGTCCTTGTTCTTGGCCTGCTCGCCCCCGACCACCTGCTGCTCCAACAGCTGCAAGCTGCCCTCATGGAGGAGAAAGCAAACGTGACACAGTCTACCGATCACTGAGCGCTGGATGTCCAGCCTGATCTCATCGACTCCTTCCAACAACCCCACTTCACAGACACGTAAACTGAGGCCCAGAGAGGTGAAGCTGCTGGCTCGGAATCAGACCCAGCATTCCTGCCAGATCTCCCTGACTCCAAGCCTGTGTGCTCAGCCACCCAGCTGGTTCTGCCCCACAGGAAGGGCGAGAGTCTCCCTCTGGAGCCAGAGCTGCTCCACCCGCCTCCCGCCTCCTGGGACTGACGGTGCCACCACAGGGCAGGCTCGCGGCCATGCTCCCAGGCAACCTCAGGGATCAGAATACCCCTGGGTTGTGGAGAATGTTCCATACAGTCAGTGCATAATGTTTAATCAGGGAACATTAAGAACAGTTCGTTTTTTTAAATATTTGTATCTAAAATGCTAAAAAAATGTTTAGAGTTTTGCCTTTAAAAGTACAAATTTGAAATAACTACAAAGGCTTATGCAGAACTCCCTACTCTCGAATAAAGCACAACAGAGGTATTTTAGACTCTGCCTCTTTCCAAAGGGACATAAGGGGAGTATAACTAAAGACAGTCCCAGGATTCATAACAGGATAGGAGATCATGCTGAAGGGAAAGGACGGAACCACGCAAACTGAGCAGCCGGGCCCAGACCCGCGTCAGGCTCAGTTCTCGGCTTGACGGCAGCCAGGATTCAGGCGAGTCACATCCAATTCACTGCTCTGCTTAAGACCCTTGTAGGGTCCCCATCAGGATGAAGCCCAAGCCCCGGGGGCACATAGGGCCTCCCTGTCTCACCTCCCTCTGCCCCCACCACCCCTAACTCACTCCAGCTTCAACTCAGGGCGGCTGTTTCTCCAAACACCCAGACTGTTTCCACCCCCTGCACCTTTGTGCCACCTTAGGTGTGCCCCGTACCTCAAATGCCACCCCTGAGGCATCTTCGTGCAAACCTTATTCAGGTGTCCCCTCTTCCGAGAAGCCCTCCCCGACCACACTGCAGACCACACAGTGAAAATCGCCACATGTGCCACGTGTTTTCTGTGTGCGCGACACCAAGCTCCCGCCTCTGTAGGCGTCGTCTCATTTGACCCTCACAACAAGCTTCTTGAGATTCTATCACCCACTGTATAGATGAGAAGCTGAAGCACAGAGAGGTTAACCTCAGCCTAGGTGGCAGAGCTGGGAAGTGGTGGAGGCGGACGGGAACCCAGGCAGTGACTACACAGAACCTGGTTCTAACTGCTCCAGAACCTGCCTCCCCAGACCTCATGTACCTGCCTGCCCCTGGACGGAGAGCCCCTTGAAGGCCAAGGCGACATCCCATCTATGCTTGCATCCTGGTGCCCAGCACGTAGTAGTTGCTCAGTTAATGTTTGAACAGTGGACTGTGGGGCCCGAAGGGGGCTGAACCCCTGGCCGTGGGGCTGACTCTGTCATGGAGGTGAGCCTGACTGTAATCTCAACTACAGTGGTGAGAACCAAGGCTCAGAGATGTTAAGCGACTTGCACAAAGCCGCAGAGCAAGTGAGGAAAGCGCAGCCCCCGCAGGCGCCCCAGGGTGTGTTTGGGGTGGCTTGTCCCTAGGGGGAGCACATCTTCCATCAGGGAGGAACTGGAGGCTCGGCGGCGACCTAGGGGAAGCCTGCATCTCCTGCCCTGAGCTCCTGAAGCCTGCAGGCCTGGCCCCTCAAAAACCAGGCGGGGATCTGGTGGCACCTGTGCTGCTTCGGGAGCAGAGCCCTGCCACCTGGCTGACCCGAGCACCATCCCTGCCCCGCTTCTCCTGGAGAGGCTCAGCCACATCAGAAGACCTGGGTGGGGCTCAGGAAGAATCTATGGGCACCTCCACCCCTGCGCGCAGGGCATAGCTCCCTCCCGCCCCACATGGGGTCCCACCACCCCCCGGGCATAGCTCCCTCCTTCCCCACATGGGGTCCCACCCCCCCACCCCACCCCGGGCTCAGGTGCTTACCGGGCAAGCACCTGCTGCTGGTCCACAGTGGGCAGTAGGTCATCGGTCAGCACTGCCACCTCCATACTGTCCCTTCTCGCAGTTGTCTTGGCCAGCAGAGACTGAGGCTGAGCCTCTAAGGCCACCTGGGCTTCACCCTCGGCTCCCACACTGGGCTCTGCTGCCAACACCACCTCCTCGGTCACTCCCGGGCCCAGGTCAACCTCCTGAGCACAAAGAGAAACCCAGGTGGAGGCGGGAGGCCAACTCCTGGACACGAGCTCACAGCGGCCTCAATCCCAGACGGGGGCAGCCCGGCCCCTGGCAGTCTGGGACGGATCACTTCTGGCTCGGGCACACCCAGTTATACAAAAATGCACCATTTCCACCAACATCCCCCCAAAACGGTCCCCCAGCTCCCTCTCCCACCCCTCACCATCCAGGCTACACACGGCAGCCAGCGGGATTTTCTTAAAATATAAACTGATCCTTCACAGCTTCCCATCACATTTGCAGTAAAATCCAGTTTCTTCCATGGGCTGCTGCACCCTCCGTGCCCGCTCCCTGCCTTCTCCCCACAACCCCATCCGTACTGCCACTTCTCTGACCTCCTTTTCTGTCACTGAGAAAGTCAAGATCTTTCCAACCTCAGGACTCTGACACTTGCTGACCCCTGCTTGGTGCTCCCCCCAGCGCCTTCTTCCTGCTTCGGTCCCATCTCAATGTCACCTGCCGGCCGGGGCGTCCCAACCTCCCTGTCTCCCATCTCCTAAGAACCTGCAGCGCCGGCTCCTACCCAGAGATCAGGTCCAGAAGCTGGCAGATCGCTTTCTCTCTCCACAAATGTGGGCAGATTTAAAGCCTTCCTCCCAGTGCCCTTGGCCGGTTGTGTTCTCTGAAGCAGAAGAGAAAACAAGGGTGGGGTCTGAGAGCAGCAGAGCTCAAAACGGGTCCCCCACCCCCGGGGGGGTTCCCTGATGGTGCCTCCGGGGCCCCCATCCCCTGCTCTGCGGCCCTCGTCCACCGCACATGCTGGGCCTCTCTGCTCTAGACAAGGGCTCCACGGCTGAGGAAAGTTTGAAAATCGCTGTGGATCAGTGGCCTCTTATTGGCAAATCGACAAAAAGAGAGGTGACGGCTCCTCTGATTTGCACGCTGCTTTGAGATGGGGATAAGCTGGGGGAGGGCTGGGGTTGTTGTCCTTGGTTTTGTTTCTGTTATTTATTTATTTATTTGGCTGCACTGGGTCTTAGTTGTGGCCCGTGGGATCTTCACTGCCGCGTGCAGGACCTTCGTTGCGGCGTGCGGGATCTAGTTCCCCGACCAGGGATCGAACCCGAGCCCCCTGCATTGGGAGCGCAGAGTCTTAACCACTGGACCGCCACGGAAGTCCCTGTTGTTCCAGTTTTACGAGTGAGGAAACTGAGGCCAGAGAGGAAGGAGACAAGCGGAAGCATCCGGGAAGAATCAGGCCCCTGGAACTGCCCCCGCCTGTCAGTACTCACAGTCCTGGGCATGAGGTCGTCGGCCGCGTCAGCTTCTGACCTGAGGTCACCAGGCTCCAGCAGATCTGTCTGGGAGGGGTGCTTGGAGGAGAACAGGGGCAGGGGGAAGAGGAGTGGTTGGGCCAGAATCATCCTTTGCTGCCCTGCCCTGCCCTGCCCCTTCAGCTCCCCACCTGCTCACCAACCCCACCACCTCTTCCTGAGGGAAGGAGGGGAGACTAGATGAGAGGGGAGAACAGGGGAGAGAGGAAATGGGGGAGAGAGGAGAGACACTGCTATGTTGCAGGAGCGTTACCTGCATGACCTCACGTGAAGCATGTGTCAGCATCCCCATTTTATAGATGAGGAAACTGAGGCCCAGAAAGGTGACTGGACAAGGTCACACAACTGAGTGAGTGGTAGAGCTGGGATCTGAGCCCAGGTCTGATTCAAAGGCCTGTGGTCTTTATACCCACACAATCACACATATGGGAAGGGAAGGGAAGGGAAGAAGAGAGAAAAAAAGATTTTTAAACATAAAAACAGAGGGTTGAAAAGGGAGAAGGCACAGGATAAAGGGGCAGGTTGGAGGAAGAGCTGCATCTCAGGATTCCTGGGTAGCCCCTGAAAGGTAGCTGGATTCTCACAGGACCCCCTCCCCGACAAGAGCATGAGGGTTGACCAAGGCCACCTCCAGCTCTTTCAGGCCTGGAGCTCAGTGTAACCATGGCAACCAGCAAACTCCCTGCACAGATGTCCCTCCGTCAGCAAAACAGGTGCCCAGCTGGCATCGCCTGGGATCCCAATCCCAACCTTCCTACTGGTTTACAGACCATCAGACAGAGTCTCTCTTTCCCAGACCCCTGAACAGCTGAGCTGTCGCCACGCCAGAGACACCGCAGAGATGGTGCCGGCAGTGCCGGAGCAGCAGAGGTTAAACGTCTGCACGTGCCCCATGACCTCTGTGCCCCAGCTGAGCTCTGCCCCCATGGCATCCTGCATGACATCAGCTACCTGCGTGGTGACCTTGGGTACGTCCGCCTGGGGCACGTCCAGCCCGGCCCCCGTGGAGGAGAGCCTGGCCAGCTTGGCTTCCACGGCAAGTGGGTTGTGCAGGCCCGGAAGCAGCTCCAGGGCCCTCAGGTGGGGCTCTTCTCCCTGGAGGAAGGGCTCCTCCTCCCACAGGGGCTCCGTGGCCTCCCGGCTGACATCCTCATCTAGGAAGTGTCCACTCGGGGCCTCCACCTCAGGCACAGGGACCTCCAGGCTGGAGGGCTCCCTGGGCCCAGGGAAAGCCGTGGAGATGAAATTTTCTTCGAGCGTGGAAGACTCATCAGACCCAAGAGAAACCTCCGACTTGGAGGCCTCCACCTTGGGCAGTTCCTCAAACCTGGAAGAAACCTCAGTCTTGAAGACACCCTCACTGGGCAGGGTGTCAGGCATGGAGTAGATCTCGGGTTTCACGGCCATCTTGTACTGGAAAGTAGGTGAGTGCTCAGAACTGCTGGCGAGCTCAGCCCTGGACATGACCTCGGCCTTGTAGAGGACTTCTGCCTTCAGGACAGCCTCTGCAAATAGAGACCTTCCTTTAGCTTTTTACAGGGTGGACAGGCGGGACCCTTCCCTGGAAGCTGGCCCCAAGCTCACCATCTCCGAGAGACCAGCTTAAAAGTCAGAGCCTCCCAGGCCCCTAAATACTGGCTTCCCATCTCTGCCCGTCTGCGCATCAGAACTCAAGCCCTGTCTCCTTCTACCTCTTCCAGGAAGCCTTCCCTGACCAGCTCCATGATCTTTCCATTCTCTGGCCTCCCCAGCCGGCCATTATATGCTGGGCTCTTACCACTCCGCCTTGGGTCTGCTCTTAATACATAAACTGACTTCCCTGCAGGTATTATTGTCTCCAAGGCAGAGAGCCCCCAATCAGCAGGTTCCACACCCAAGACCCTCAGGGGCCTCGCCGGGGTCTCAGGGCCCTTGTCCACAGGATAAGCTAGAGCCGTGGGATATAATGAATGCTGTGGGTGGATATTAGCGAGACCAAATAAAATCCCTTGGAGGCCTGATATTCAAAGAGGATGGAGGGAACACTCCCAAGGACAGAAAGTGCTAGAATCTGCCCTTCCCTCTTCTTCCAGGTCTACACCAAGAGGGGCATCTCCCCGCCATCTGGGATGGGAGATGATCGCACAGGCCTTCTGCTCCCAGCTCATGGGCAGTAGACCAGCTCCTTTATATCCCAACCTCTTCTTTGTCACCGTGTCCTGGGCTCCCCTGAGAGAGTCCTGATGTCCCCTTTGCTGAGACATCCACTCCCTAGCTCATGGCCTGAACCTCTCCAAGCCTGAGTCTGCACACCTGCGTTGTGAGGATGCGGTGAGTCCCAACTCACTGAGGGCGTTCGGGAGAAGCACCTACCTACCCAGTACCTGGCACACACAATGCCTAATAAACGGTACCAATGATATGAACATATTGTCATCATTATGAGGTGGATGTTATAGTAATTGAGTACAGTATTTGAGTATTAGGAAGTCTTGGGCTGCCTGGCAGCACAGGTGTCTGAAAGATAGTGGTGGGATGGAACGTTCTAGAATGTCAAATAGAAGATAAAAATTTCCAGGAAGGTAAAAGTTCTTGCTAATGATTAAATGCTTATTTGGGGACGTGGTTGCTTTGGTAACAAATGGTCTCAAATGTGAAAAGAGACGGTTGAAAATGTAGAAACTGTGGGAAAGGATTTATCCATAAAACATGGGTGATATGTTACAGCTCTAAGTCAACCTTGGGAGGCGATCCAGCCTGTGGCCAAGGCATCACGAGGCAGTGCTGTGGGTAAGAATACTGGCTCTGGAATCAGACTGCTGGGTTCAAGTCCTGGCTCCACTTTACCAGCTGTGTGACCATGGGCAAGTTACTTACCCTCTCTGGGCCCCAGTTTCCTCATCTACAAAGTGAGGGTGACTGTGGTGCCTGCCTTGCTGGGCTGTTGTGAGGACTAAATAGAACTGAGCCTGGTGCATGGGAAGTGCTCTATAATGTCAGTCAGAGGGGTGAGGAGGAGAGCAGGCTGGCCTCCCTCCCGACAGCTTTGGGGGGCGGGGGCCCACCTGTCTCCTTGCGCAGGTTCTCCTCCAGTGCGGACAGCTTCACATCGTACGAGTTGCGCATGGCAGTGATGTCCTCCTCCAGCCGGGCCCTGGACTCCTGTTCTGCCTCATAGTCGGCCCTCAGCCGGGCCAGGCGCTCTTCGTACTCCTGGCAGAGGCGGGGGAATAACAAGAGGGGCAGCATTTATCGCCACTTCAAAACGCAGCTTTCAGTAATCCTCTTTTGTCATTCAAACAATCCGGAAAATACAAATAAGCCAAAAGAACAAAATTAAAATTCCTCCTCAGCACTAGGATGATTCCTGGCTGGTGAAGACCCTTCTGCACTTTTCTCTATACATTTTTAACGGGCTAATAGTATGCCTACCTGTCTGTAATCTATGTTTTCCACAAAGCAGCAGATCATGAACACCTTTCTGCATCAACAAATATGTTTTAACCAAATAGTCCTCAAGCCATCGAAGACGAAATGTATTTGTATGCATCTGCTTCTCTCTCCATCTTTGCCATCACCACCAGCTCTCGTCTGACCTGGTTCCCCACCTCCACTCTTGCTCCAAACCTTTCTCCACGTGGCAGCTACGCATCCATAGATCATGTTTCAATGGCTTCCCGTGTTGGAGGATAAAAATCTAACCTCCTCAACTTGACCTCCAGTCCCCAGTGATCTGGACAGCCCACTCCATCTTTGCCACTCTTGGGCACGCCAGGCGCTTTCCACTCCTAGACACGCCCACTCCCCCCCATGCCCCCCACCCCGCCAGCCTCAGGGCCTTTGCCCTCACTCCCTGGCAAGTTCGTCCCTTCAGGCCTCGGCTTGGTAACAACCTCTCAGAGAGGCCTTCCCTGGTTACCCTCTCAGAAGATCACCACCACCGCTGTCACTTCGCTTATTTCTTCTTAGCCTGGATCATAAGTTCCATCATTCTCTGCATTTATTTGACTATAGATTAACCGTCCAGCTTCCCCACCAGAGAACACGCATCCTCCCATCTTGCAGCCTCGGTGCCTAGCAGAGAGGAGGGACTCGGGGAATCGCCGCTGAATCAGCAAGTGCGTGAAGCAGAACTGCTAGGCAGGCTGTTCAGGTGTCTGATATGCGTCCCCCACAGGGAGGGCCGGGCCTTTATGAACTAATGTTCGTCTGTGAGGGGTCTGCAGCGGCAGTAAGCCAGAGGGGCGGGACGGGGTTAAAGATGGGAGAGCCCCTGCACACGCCCACCCCTGCAGATCCCCCAGGAAGTACAGAACCAGCACAGACTCCTACAACAGCACAGACAGCAACAGCACAGATGGCAAGACCTGGGCTCTCGGGGTGGAAGAGGAGACTGACCACCATTAGAATTTAACGTTTTCTGGGACTTCCCTGCTAGTCTGGTGGTTAAGACTCTGCGCTCCCAATGCAGGGGGCCTGGGTTCGATCCCTGGTTAGGGAACTAGATCCCTCATGCCGCAACTAAAGAGCCCACGTGCTGCAACTAAAGACCCCGCACATGGCAGCGAAGATCCTGCGCAGCCAAATAAACAATATATATATATATATATTTTTTTTTTTTTTTCTTTTTTTGCGGTACGCGGGCCTCTCACTGTTGCGGCCTCTCCCGTTGCGGAGCACAGGCTCCGGACGCGCAGGCTCAGCGGCCATGGCTCACGGGCCCAGCCGCTCCGCGGTGTGTGGGATCTTCCCGGACCGGGGCATGAACCCGTGTTCCCTGCATCGGCAGGCGGACTCTCAACCACGGCGCCGCCAGGGAAGCCCACAAATATATATTTTTAATGTAACGGTTTATGCAGCACAGTTGAGATGCATTGAGCCTCAGGGCAATACCTGCAATGTTACTGAGACCCAGGGAGGGTCCAGACTTGCCCAGAACCACGCAGCTCTCTGATGGCCTCATGGAGACCTGCAGCCCACGCCCCGCCTGCTTTCTCCTGCCCCTGCGCCCGCCCTCGCCTTCCTCCTCATCCAGCTGGGATCCCAGCGCCCAGCACTACATCCATCCCTCAGCAAGCACCCCTGGCTCCCTCACTTCAGCACTCGCCCCTACTCCCTCCAGCACAGCCCTGACCCCAGTTAAACCCAGGCCTAGGCCCAGTGGCACCTACACCCCCGCAAGACCTGGCTGGAGATGCACACATGGGCCCGCACACACGGACCTGTGCACTCGCACACACGGCAGCACCGGCTTCCTTTCTCACCTGTAAATGTGTGACCCCAAATCTCAGAAGGAGCTCTAAGTGGTGTCCCATCCTTTCCTAGTCCTTCCACCTTCCCTCTCTCCGAAACCCTCCGCTCCCCCCATTTCCTGTCTGGTCCTCCACAGAGAGCCCTGAAGAGGGCAGAGGTGAACTCCCTCACCCTCCTCTGCCCGAAAGCTCTGTGTCCTCTTGTGACGGAGGACAAACCGTCCAAAGCCGAACCCCCCGTAGGAGGACTCTGCTCTTTCAGTCCCCCTCCCTCCTATACCTCGGACTTCTCCCTCGGTTCTAGATCATTCCCCACAATCCACAAAACATGCTCTACTACTTCCTTTCTTTTTGCCACACCATGTAGCTTGCGGGATCTTAGTTCCCCAACCAGGGATCCAACCCAGGCCCTGGCAGCGGAATCCTAACCACTGGACCGCCAGGGAATTCCCATGCTACTTCCAATATTAAAAACAATAAAACTCTGCCTTGGGCCCACCTGCGCCTCTGGCTCCAGGGCCCAGCGCCTAGTAGGTGCTCAGAAAATGCTTGTTGATGACTAAATGGGGTAAACCCAGACCTCCGAGCCCCGGCTGGCACCTGTTACACAGCCCAGCCTCTTCCAGCAGCAGGAAAGCCGCCTTATACCCACTCTAGAGATGAGGAAACAGGCTTGGAGAGCTTAAACAACCTGCCCGGGCACAGAGCCTGTAAGAACTGGACTCACAGAATGTAAAAGCTGGATGAGCCCTAGGAATCTTCTAGTCCAAATCCCCTGGTGCAGCTAGAGACGGAAGCCCACGGAGTCAAAGCTGCAGCCCGTGGCTGAGCCGACTCCTGGCCCGGCACCCTCTGTTACACACAGGGGCCCCCTCCCTCATCCTCAGCATCCTGACTGGCTCAGGAATGGAAAGGAAAGCACAGTCTAGGCACACAGAGAGTCTTAAGTGAAAGAACAAACGGGAGGGAGGACAGACCCCCTCAACTCTTCCTCTGAGTATGGCTCGCAGAAGAAACTCCAGGGCCATAAAATAGACTTGGTGGTGGCAGCGCCAGGGGACAGCGGTCTGACACAGCGTCCACTAAGCTGCCCTTGAGGAGGAGGCAGGTGACCCCCATCCCCAGAGCAGAAGGACCCTCCAATCACTGGCTACTCCAGCAGCCGGCCCAGAACAGCGTTCTTCTCCCTTACGACCACTAGGGGGAGACAGCGCCCTGTGTATCACACAGCCAGGATGCCCGCCCACCCAACCCGGCTTCCTCAGGGAGGAGGCTTCCATCCCAGCCCCAAGTCAGCACCCCTGCCCCACGCCCCCCTTCCCCGTACTGCTTTGTGACCAACGTCCACCTGTCCCTATGAGATTCCAAAACACACCCTGAAGCGCAACCTCTCTCATCCTGTGGGCTCGTGCTCAGCCATCCCCAAAGGCCCCCTCTGCCGGGACCTCCCCACCCCGCCCCGGGGAGCCAGGCCCAGGGCCCCAGAGCTAGCCTGCCGCTGCCCCTGCGCCAGGAGCTCCCAGAGCAGCAGAGGAAAAGGCAGAATGAGCGGCTGAGTTCCCAGAAGCTTGACGGGGCCCGGAAGGGGCCGTCCAGGAGCTACAGTTGAGCCTCTCCCCAAATAGTAAACGCCTCCGCCTGTCGTGGCAGCACTTGGGGGCTCTTTGGTCGGTTCCTCCCAGCCCTCCAGCCCACAGGACTGAGACTCCCCCAGGCCTTACCCGGTCTGCCTCCAGAGGCTGGGCCCCAGGCCCGTGCAGCCTGCCCAGGGCTGCTCCCATCTGAGGTCATAGTTGAGCGGCAGTAGCCCAGCTGCAGACACGTCCAGGCCCCAGTCTCCAGAGAGGTGTCCTTCCCTGGCATTAGGTTTTCCACCAGGAAGAAGCCAGTGCCCTACTTAAAGGGACCATCGAATGTCAAACCCCACCACATGCTCAGGTCTCAGAATGCAGCCCTCTAATGGCAGGAACCTCCGGAAATCAACAGAGACTGGAGTCAGGACAGAGCCTAAGCCAGGGGTAGGAGGCGCTTTGTGTCTGGCTGTGTAAGTGCCCCTGGGGTCAGCTCCGCATCTGTAAATCAGGGTGCTACCTACCCTGCTGGGTCCCAGTGTGCTGGAAGCCACAGTTGTGGGAGGACCCAGGTGCCCCGAGGTGACAGCTTTTGCTGGGAGGCTAACGCCCCACTTATCCACCAGTCAAGTCAAATGGGTGCCCAGGGGTCCCCACGGCCCACCCAGGCTGCCTGCTCTCAGCCCAGAGCCCTTCCGCCCTGGCCTCTTCACCGAGGCACTGGCCATCCCTACCGCCAGGGATGCCCTCTCCATTGCCATCAATCCACAGCCAGCTCTTCATGCAGCACAGATGAGATGGCGGCCCTGCAGACGCCCACAGCCCTCTCTGTTCTGCACACAGAGGCACCGATGGGGGACGGACTGTACTCTGGAGTCAGGAAACCGAGTTCAAATCCCGGCTTAGACTCTCCTTGGCTGTGTGACCTTGGGCAGGTCATGGCACCTCTCTGAGCCTCAGCTTTCTGAGCTCCAAAGGGAGACTGGAGTACCAACCCCCACGTGATGGTGGCGGGGAAATGGTATCGTTCTGGAGACGGTCTCCTGCTGGGCCCCACCTGCCTGCCCCTTCTCCACCTGCCCAGGGTCTCACCTCCCGGATCAGCTGCTTCTCAGCCTCCGTGTTGTGCTGGGTCACAGATGGGGGCAACAGCTTCTCTTCAATCTGGACGGGGTTTGGGGGAACCTGATTGTTCAGCAGGGCTGGGACAAAAGCAGAAATGAGGGGCTGAGGCCAAGGTGCACACGGTTTGGAGGAACTAAGCAAAAATCCATAAAAAGGCAACTGCGTGCTCATTCAAAAAAGACTCAAAGTACTGAACTTATTTCAAGCATGTCTCTGTGTAAGATGCTCATATACTCATCCAACAAGTATTTCTTGAGCACCTACATGTTCCAGGGCCTGGGGGTTTGGCACTAAACAAAACAGACAAGACTCCACACACACATTGTTTTCAACTGGGGGAGCAAGGTAAGCAAAATGCATAACATGTTAACAAGGTAATATTTTCTAAGAGAAGGAAAGCAGGGAGGGTGCTGAGAAATAAGGATCAGGGGGAAGGGCTGCAATTTTAATAGTGTGGACAGGAAAGACCTCTTAGACAAGGTGGGAGGAAAGCAGTTATTTGAAGGAAGTGAGGGAGTGGGGCAGGCAGAGATCCTGGGGACAGACAGAAAGGAATGGTGAGTGCAAACGTCCTGTGGCAGGCAGGGGCTGTGGCTGTTCCAGGAACAGCCGGGAGGCCACTGAGGCTGGATCAGAGTGAGCAAGGGAGAGGACGAGTGAAGAGCAGAGCAGGTCAGAGAGGGAAACTCGCAAGCCGTGGCGAGGGCTTTAGCTTCAACTCTGGGTTAAACCAGGCCATTGGAGGGTTTGGGCAGGGCAGCGAAAGGACTTGTATTTGAACAGGAGCTCCCTGGTTGCTGTGTGGCGAATGTACTGGGGGGACAATGGCACAGATTCTGGACCTGCTTTAAAGGTAGAGACAACAGGATCTACTGCTGGACTGGATTGAGGTTTGAGCAAAAGTGAGAAGCCCAGCGTGACCCCAAGGTTTCTGGCTTGAACACCTGGAAGGAAAGAGGTGTCACTGGCTGGGGATAGCTGCAGGACAAGCAGGTCTGGGAAAGGTCGAGAGTGCAGTGTCCAATATGTTAAGTTTGGAATGACAATTAGATAGATGGCCAGATGGCCAAGTCTGGAAATCAGACGACATGGTTTATCAATCAGGTTTGGGTTTTACTTCCTGATGTTTTTGACATCCTGGGAGACTTGATGGCCAGGAAGAGACTGCCCCTCCCAGGGCCAGCCAATTCCTAGAGGGAGTAAACAGCTTGTCCGGAGGAGCAACCTTTTCATGTGCAAACCAACCAATTCTGAGTCCACACCCACCTCTATCTAACTCTCCCACACAGCCAGTATTTCCCCTGCCCAAAGTCAACCGGGGCCAGGACCAGGCAAGCAGGGACAGCCCTTATGCCCCAATCCTGTCGGGCTTACTCAAGCTAGCCAGTCCTGAGCTGTTTTTCCTGCATGGCTGTGTCTTTCCACCAAAACCCCGATAAAGGCTCTGGTCCGGGCTGTCCCTCGCTCCTCTCTGCCTCCTGACCCACACTGGTGCTTCCCCCTGTGGCCCTGCATGGCGTGCCTCTCATTTCCAGGGTAACTGAGTAACATTACCCTTTCTTTCAATGACATTGACCTCTCTGTGTCACCACTCAGTCACCTTTATAAATTAAGACCTGGACACGCATCACACAGCCAGGCTGTGAGAATCATGAGCACGGAGGTGGTGTTTAAAGATGTGAGACCAGGGCTTCCCTGGTGGTGCAGTGGTTAAGAATCCACCTGCCAATGCAGGGGACACGGGTTCGAGCCCTGGTCCAGGAAGATCCCGCATGCCGTGGAGCAACTAAGCCGATACGCCACAACTACTGAGCCTGTGCTCTAGAGCCCGCGAACCACAACTACTGAGCCCGCCTGCCACAGCTACTGAAGCCCACACGCCTAGAGCGCCTAGGCGTGCCTAGAGCCCACAACAAGAGAAGCCACCACAGTGAGAAGCCCGCTCACTGCAACGAAGACCCAATGCAGCCAAAAATAAATAAAATAAATTTATAAAAATTAATAATAATAAAAAAATAAAGACATGAGACCAGATGAGCCCACCTTAGGAGTGTAGAGAGAGAAAAGGCTAGAGGACCGGCCCTGGGACAGCCTGACATCAGGAGGTTAGGGATGGAGAGACTCACACAAGGGAGCTGAGAAGGAGTGGCTGCAGAAGCAGGAGAACTAGGACAAAGGGCGTCCAGGAAGCAAGGGTTTCAAGGAGAAGGGAAGGGGTCATCTGAGTCAGCTGATGCTAAGAGGACAGCTGAGGCCTCCTGAGGACCGATCACTGGATTTAACAACCAGGAGGGCATCCATGACAAGGGCAGCTTCAGTGGGACGGGGGCGCAGGGCCTGCCTGGACTAGGGGCAGGAGAGCAGAGCACGGAGGGCCAGTGAAAACAGACCAATGTTTCCAGTTCTGCTGAAAGTGGGGAGGGAGAAATATGCCAATGACCAGAGGGAGAACCAGGGCCGAGAGGGCAACGCTAACAGTTAAGTGCCTGTGGTGGAAACACCTGGAGCGTTGAGTCAGACACACCTGGTTTCAAGACCCAACTATAACGTTAGAGCATCCGGTACCGTCTGTTGAGCCTCACGTGCCAGGCTCCGTGCTAAGCCCACACGTGAATCACCTCGTGCAACCCTCTCAACCACCCCACAGCAATAACAAGGCAGGTGCTGTCATCACCTCCACTTTACAGATGAGAACGTTGAGGCTCGGGGGGCTAAGTTGCTTCCCCGAGGAGCCAGGACGTGAACCGGTGATTACTGCCCTGATCTCAGCTCCCTGCCTGCCCTGCCTCCGCCATTTCAGCTTGCTGGGCTCCATGCTCCAGATCCAGGAAGAGGGGATGCTAAGAGCCCTGACCCCCCAAGGCTGCCGTGATAACCATGGGAAGTCTGCAGGCATGTCAGCTGCCGGGTCAGGGGAGCCACCGGCAGAGCAGCCCCAACTCCCTCCTGGTGCCCCTCGCCATTCCTCCATCTAGCTTCCCCTCACTGATCGGGGGGGCTAAGCAGGGTCAGGGGTGGGGCAGGAGGGAAAGAGGAGGAAGGCAGATTGCCCAAGCGGAACCCCTCACAGTGGTGTTCAAGGGCCTCTGCACTCCAGGCCCGGCCAGCCCCTACATAGCCACCTCCCACCACCCGAGCCGCCAGGCAGTCGGCAGAACTACCTGTGGGTCCCCAAACAGACCTTAGAGCTTTGTGCATCTCTGCACAGACTGACCACTCTCATCCCGTCTAACAGGAGACTTCTCATCCCCCAAGACTCTGTGCAATCACCCCTTCTCCACTGGGAAGCCTTCCCTGACTGACCACACCCTACCCCCAGGTAGCCTTGGCCACACACTCCCTTCTGCCCTGCAGTGCCCTGTACGGATCTCTGTGCCAGATGCACACGACGCTCTGCTGGAGTGTCCTTCTCCCCCAGGAAACCAGGTATACCCACGCGGCAGAGCCTGGATCTGACTCACCTCTGTGTCCCCATGCCCAGCACAGGTCCACACACAGAGCAGGTATGAATGGATGGGGGCGGGGTGACAGGCAAGATAGATAAAAGGATGGATGACAGGGCAGAGTGAATGAGTAGGTGGACATGTGGACAGTAGGATGGATGGGTGGGTGGATGGATAAACAATGGAGTGGGTGGGAGGACAGGTGGGTTGAGTGGATGGGTGGATGGATGGGTAGATGGATGGATGCGTGGGCAGGTGGACGGATGGGTAGATGGATGGATGCCTGGGTGTAGATCAGTGGGTGTGTAGAATGGATGGATAGAGAGGAAGGTGGGCGGGGAGGTGGATGAACGGACAGAGGGACTCAGTCTCTTTAGTGCTGCCTTCTCCCAAGGGATTCTCAGATAAAGAAAACTCTGGAGTCCCTTGGTTGCAAGGACCCTGCAGGCCCATGCTCCAGGTATAGATTTCTACCTGCCAGAGGACAGCCAAACACCTGGGTGTGAGAGCAGGCATCACAAGGTGCCTAACTGGGAGTGGGCGTGTGACGTCGGGGGAGGGTGAGTCACCTAGCTGCTAAGCAGCACAGCATCACCACGCTGCCATGGAGACAGCAGGCAGACAGGAGGGAGGACGGATGTGCAGCCTAGAGGCAAGGAACGGCGGACAGAGCCTCCAGCTGATGGGACAGGCCAGGCAGACGGGCCTCATGCTGGGTCATCGGTGAGCAGAAACCATCTGGGCCGTCACCAACCAGGGCTCTCCCCGGCTGTTCAAAACTCTATGCTCACGTGAAGTTGCGAGGAGGTGGGACATTGCTTCCATGCCCCGGAAGACAAAGGGAGAGGGCCTTTTTCGTCCCGGGCCCTCCCTTCCACTCCCTCCCCCTGCCGCCCACCTGACAGGTTGCTGGGGCTCATCTGCTGAGCCAGAATCGCCCTGAGCTTCTTGATCTCCTCCTGGTACTCGCGCAGGAGGGCATCCTTGGGGTCCTCGTTGATGCGAGGCTTGTTCCTGATGTTCTTGGCTCGGTTGGCGTAGCGCAGCGTGCTGAGGGTCTCAGCGTAGTTGTTGTCAGCGGGCGACAGGCAGGCCACCATCAGTGTCTTGGTGTTGCCGCCCAGCGAGTCCTGCAGCAGCCGCGTCAGTTTCGAGTCCCGGTAGGGGATGTGTTTGCAGCGCCCGTCCACCAGGGCCGAGATGACGTTGCCCAGCGCGGACAGCGACAGGTTGATCTTGGTGGCCTCCTTGAGCCGCTCCCCCGTGGCACCCGTCTTGGACTGCCGCTCGCTGCCTGCCAGGTCCACCAGGTTCAGCTTACCTGCCCGGAGGTGGTCCTTGCCCCGCTCATCTGCAGACAGACCAGGCAGAGGGGTGAGGGCCCTGGGGTGAGCCCCACGGTAAGGAGACCCTGGGTGCTCCCCACCCACCGAGGGTCTCATTTCAGCTGCACAGGAGCCCCATGAAGGGGGTGCTAGGATTGTGCCGTTACAGATGAGAAAAGTGAAGCTCAGAAAGGGCATTTAACATGCCTAAGGTCACACAGCTTCCAAGAGCAGAAGCCAGGGCCAACTGATTCCAGGGAGCGGGGGCTGGGAGGCACAGGCTGCTCTCTGAGTGCTGCAGGATTTCTCACGGCTATCGAGACAGCTCTTACAGATTCCTTGTGAGGCAACGGCGGGGCGGGGTGGGTGGGGGCAGTGGGAGGCAGTGAGGGGATATGATTGGGTCACCAGGGAGCTGAATCCCTCAATGCAAAAAACATCGGCTTTGGAGAGCCTTGGACCCAGTTCCCATCCAAGTCTTGCCTCCTACTTGCTGTGTGACCTTGGCAAAGCCACACACCTCTCTGACCCTCAGTTCTCACATCAACAAAATGAGGCTAACGATAGCTCCCCACCAGCGTTGGTTGTTGGAAGGAGTAAACGGACAGCACACTTGTACGGAGTCCACACAGGGCCCAGCACACAGCAGGGATTCGTTTGCCCTGAGAACGAGCCCAGTTCTGCAGCGGCCGCAGCTGTGCTGGCAGGGCAGACCCGTGTTCTGGGGGTGACGGGAGCCGGGCACTGGCTGGGAGCAGGGGCCTGGAGCACAGGTTTTGAAGGCAGAGACCTGAGGGATCCGGTCTCGATTCTATCTCTCGGCAGCTGTGGAACTCAGGGAAATTAACTCTGAGCCTCGGCCTTCTCTTAGTAACATGGGAATCTAAGACCCACCCTGAGGGCTGTTGTGAGGATTACACAGAGAGCACGGGCGTGAGGGGCTCCGGGTCATGCCTGGCACGCAGCAAGTGCTCCTCAAATGACAGCCTGTGGCTCTTGATACTATTAATAATTCTTACTGTCACCAGAGGACATGGTAAACGGTTCCAAATGAAATAGGGGGGAGGAGCAGGGGCTTCCTCCTTAGTTTCCTGCTGGCTGAAACCAGAATTGGCCTGGTTTTGCCCATGAGCACAGCTACCTGAAGTAAAAAGGTCTGGCTGGCATCCAGTGGAAGCTTGGACATGCAAGGGGCTTGATTCTTTGGGCTATTTTTTTCTTAAGGAGCAGCAGGAAGGAGGGACTTGGAAATGCTCTTTTGGAAAGCTCTTTGCAGAATGTACCGGGAGCCTTAAACAGGTTTGTACCCGTGCCCCAGGAGGCCTGCTCCAGGGAATCTAATCTGAGGAGATGACTCTAAAAGCAGAAAAGGGGACTTCCCTGGTGGCAGAGTGGTTAAGAATCCGCCTGCCAATGCAGGGGACACAGGTTCGATCCCTGGTCCAGGAAGATCCCACATGCCACGGAGCAACTAAGACCGTGCACCACAACTACTGAGCCTGTGCTCTAGAGCTTGCAAGCCACAACTACTGAAGCCCGCGCCTAGAGCCTGTGCTCTGCGGCAAGAGAAGCCACCGCAATGAGAAGCCTGCGCACCACAACGAAGAGTAGACCCCGCTCGCCGCAACTAGAGAAAGCCCGTGTGCAGCAAGGAAGACCCAACGCAGCCAAAAATAAATAAATAAATACATTTTTAACAATAAATAAATAAAAGCAGAAAAGGCTTTGTACACAAAGATGTTCATCATGGCATTATTTACAACACTGAGAAACCAGAAACAGCATTAAGAGCTTGTAGAAAAAAAAAAAAAAAAGAGCTTGTGGAGGGCCGGGTAGAGGAGGGTGCTGACTGATGCGCGGTCCTTCAGCCACCTTCCATGGTCAGGAAGACATGGCAGGAACGATGTGGGAACATTCTTAGGGATGGCATGGGAAATGAAACATGGGGAAGAAACTTTATATAGAGCAGAAGATTTTAAGAGTGTTTAAAATTTGCACAGGGAAAAAAAGGATCAAAATAACATATGCTTAAATGTTAATGGTTGTGTTTATGAGTAATTTCCCCTACCTTTCTCTAACTCCTAAATCTTTATTGAACTTATTTTATAATGGAAATAAAAAACATCTTTAAAATTTTTAAAAAGCCTGTTTGCAGGCAGCCTGCCTCATCCTTCAAACCCATCTGCAGAGACCAAGAGGCACCCCACAGGGCCACTCTCTCCTCCTCCCTCCTGATCTGTCCTCTCAGGCCCTAGTCCCTGCCCCCACCTACAGCATCATCATATGAGGAGGTGATCACACCACCCGCCCTCCCCATATCATCACCCCTGGGGGAGACTCTGACCCAGCCAGCACCAGGGGGTTGGCCTGGAGCCAGGTCACCACACAGGTGGGCAGTGTGCTGCTGGGGGTTCCATCAACCCAGGCCTTGACCTTGGGCTGGGATCTCTCCACAATTATGCTCCTAGTTGGGCTGAGGCTGCTTCCTGCTCCACTGCTCTCCAGAGTTCTGTTTGTGATGAACCACAAACTTGGAGGCAACGGCAGTGTTAGTGGGAAAAACCCAGATGTCAGAGAAACCTGGGTTCAAATCCCAGCTCTACCACTTAGCAGTTAAGCGGTACCTTGAAGCACTTAAGTAAGACCTTGAACAAGCAGGTCACTTGACCTCTCAGAGCCTCCGTTTCCTCATCTGTTAATGGGAATGATAATGCCTGCATTTAGGACTGTTGTGGGCTTTAAATAGAATGAGGTGTGTAAAGGACTCAGCACAGCGTCTATAGGTAGCCTGAAATAAACGAGTTCCTTTCCTTCTTCTTCTCTTTCTCAGTAACTCTTCCAGAAATAAAGAAAGAGTGAGATGGCTTTGGAGTAGAGAATGCTAAAGAAAGAGGAGAGGGCTTCCCTGGTGGCACAGTGGTTGGGAGTCTGCCTGCCGATGCAGGGGACACGGGTTCGTGCCCCGGTCCGGGAAGATCCCACGTGCCGCGGAGCGGCTGGGCCCGTGAGCCATGGCCGCTGAGCCTGCGCGTCCGGAGCCTGTGCTCCGCAACGGGAGAGGCCACAACAGTGAGAGGCCCGCGTACCGGAAAAAAAAAAAAAAAAAAAAAAAAAGAAAGAGGAGAATCCTAAAGTTCTGGGTGGCACACACTCTGGGGGCAGACCCCTGGGATAGAGGCCCAGCTCGAAGACCTTCTAGTTGTGTGACCGCGATTTCCTCACTCATCTGTAAAATAGGGATGATATGAGTATCCACCTCATGGGGTTGTTGGAAGGAGCAAATGAGCTAATGCAAATACATTGCATGGCACGTAGAAAGTGCTCAATGGTAGCTACCAGTATTATTATTGTTGTTGTTGATGATGCTGTTTATCCTGGAAACGTGGGTCCTGGCACAGGGACAGTCCTCTTGTGTTTCCTCCAGGCAACCCCAGCATCTCTTCCCAGTTGCGGCCCTCGAGGCTCCGAGTGGTGAAGGGTCTGGGCTACTAGGAGCAGGCACCCGGCTTGGTGGTCCGGCCCCCTCCGTCCCCACCCGGCCCCACATACCCACCGCGTAGATCTCGATGCTGATGGTGAAGATGGAGTGGGAGCGGGAAGAGTCCTTGTTCATCAGCGTGTAGCCAACCGAGCGGTTCTTCCAGCCCGTCTCCATGACACGCTCGCACTGGGCCACACTGTGCACCGTGTGCATGGAGAGCCCCTTCACGTACACCCCCTTCTCCGAGTGCTCCTTCAGCTGCGGGCAAGAGGCACGGGTCAGGGCTCCCTGGGGAACCTGAGGGAAGGGCCCAGCTCCCACCACCTCTGCCCTCCTGCAGGGTGGGTTGGCACCTCGGATTCCCTGTCACAGGTTGGGGGTTTGTCCTAGGTAGAACCAGCCTCAAACCCACCCCCGCCTCTCCCTTGTTGTGGGACCTTGGGTCAGTGACATCATCTCTCTGAGCCTCCGTTTCCACATCTGTAAAATGGGTACAAGATACCTATCCCTTAGGGAGGTGGTGAGGATTCTGTAAACTAAGGCTCGTACAACGCATGGCATGATGCCTGGCACATGGTTACTGCTCCATAAATGGCAGCCGCGGTCTCACTGTTGTTGTTAGTGCTGTGGTTGTGAAGGCGGCTTCTGGTCTGGGGCTTCAGCTCCCGGGGGCCGACCCTGTCTGTAGTCATTCACCCAAGGGCTCTGAGTGCTTCTCCCCTGACCTGCCAACGTGGCTTCTGCTCGCCTCCCTGCCGCGGCTCCACGGCAACAAGAATGTTCCCAGACCCTTGGATCATGGCGGGTGAAGGGCCATTTGCGCCCAGAACTCCCACTGGCCCCCAGCCCTCAGCACGATGGCAGCGAGTAAATCAATTTATCTGACTGCTGCGTGCTTGCTCTCCAGGCAGCTGAGCTGTTTTGTTGCTGACACAGAGCTGTGAAAAGCAATGTGAGAGGAAATAAAACCACTCTGGGAAGAGCAGAATGAATTAGGACAGAAGTCATCTGTCCGCTGGTCTGAGCCAGAGTAGGCTCAGATGCTTTGCCCCGGGGCAGCTTCAGGGTCCCAGGTGGGGCTGGGCCCCTGCTGCAGAGCAGGGCGGGGGGCAGAGGGGGGCAAGCACAGGCTTGCCCTATCTCCCCAAGTCTGGAGAAAGAGCCAGACCCAGACCGAAGGACTGGGTTTCACGGAACAGATAAGCGACGGAGGCAAAGAAAGGTTAAGTGGCTTTCTAAAGGTCACACAGCTATTAGTGGCAGGGCAGCACTGGGGTCACTGGCAGTGGAAGACTCCAGAGGCAGGGCTTGGAGAGAGGCTGCAGCATCCTGGAGTAACTGAAGTTTGATATGACAAAGGGCTGACCTTGACCTAGAAGGTGGCTGTGAGGACGGAGCTCAAAGGACAGGAGCAGGAGAGCCTGCAAACAGAGCAGGGCTTGATGGTAGCCTGGGATGCTGTGTGCCTGCTTTGGTCACTGTCACACTCTCAGAGGCTAGACGCCTGCCTGGTACATGCTAGGCGCAGGTGACGGATGGCTGCTCCTGGCCTCAGGAAGAACGCAGTTTCCTATCCAGTCAGACAGACTCGGGTTAGAAACCTGGTTCTGTGACTTGCTAGTTGGGGAAGTCATTTTGTCTCTCTCGGCCTCGGTTTCCTCATCTGTAAAATGAGGATGATGAATCCTATTTCCACAAGACTTTTGGGAGGATCGAAAAGAGAATGGATGTGAAAGGAGCTCTGTGGGGGTTTCTGGAGGGGGTTCGGTGAACACAGATACCAAGAGGATGAGGCCGTCCTCTCCAGCCTGAGCAACCTCACGAGCAGGAAAGGAGGTCAGGGGAGGCAACACCTAATGTAGGAGTCTCCCACCCACCCTATTTGTAGGCCCAAGAGGGCTCGCCCCCTCACCTCCCGACCTTCTGGATCCCTCCACCCCTCCCCTGCTGTTCCGGCCTCCACCCACCTCCCGAGTGTCAGGCGCCAGCCCCGCCCCGCATTCCTTGGTAACTGTTCCTCCCGGATGCCAGGCGGAGCGCGGTCGCCATGGCAACCAGCTGGGATGCGGCCGAGTGCGGGGGAGCGGCGCGCATGCAGGACGGGACCACAGCCGGCCGGGAAACGCCCCCATGGAGGTGCGGGGTCCTGCCACTGGCCCGACGCCGGCTGCGGGAACCAACTGGAGAGGCCCCTGAGGGCCCCACCTCCGCCACCTAGCACTGAGCTGGGTTCCGTGATGGTGGTTCGTGGTGTTGGGGGAGGGGGTGTAATCGGCTTCCCCAAATCCCTTGCTGGCCCTCGCTGATCTAACCACTCTCATTAGCAGAATTACCAGGCCGTGGGCTGTGCTGTGGAGCCTGGCCACCTGGGTGCAAATTCCATCTCCACCCTTTACTGACTGTGCCCTTGGGCTGGTTCTTGAACAGCAGCTCCTCCTAAGGCTGTTGTGAGGGTTATACAGAACCCAGCTGTCCCTGCTCTGAGAGAGCTCCAGGCACCCATGGGCAATGTCTCTGAGCACATCTGTCACTGGCGGCCCTCATCCTCAGGCAGCCTGGCTCACCAAGCCTGAGGCCTGTGGTCCAGCTGGGCCACGTACAGGCAGCTGCCAGCCCTTGGGCCCGCAGGGCCTGGGTAACCGAACCCATCCTAGGGTCCATGATATGGAGGAAGTGGAGGGGGCTGGCAGGGGCCCCGATGCTGCAGGCTGGCCTTTCGGGGCCGACAAGCAGGAGCAACTCCCTGTGCCTTGCTCCCGTCCCCATGTCCCCGTCTGGGGGCTGAGTTATGACTCAGCTGCTCCAGCTCCAGGAGAGAGAAGACAGTGGAAAGACCCCAGCTGGGTGGCTGGAGGTGCCTGTGTAGAAAGGGCAGAGCACTGCTGTGTCTGCGAGGAGGTGAGGAGGAGGGGGCTGGGGGCCAGTCCTGGTCTGGACGGGGACTGGGGGTGGGGGGAGTTCACACCCCTGTGGACCTGCTGTAGTCTGTGGCCTGACCTCCAGGGTCTTCCCAGTAAGTCTCTGTTGAATGGATGACTCAACTCATGAATGTTCCTCCCTCACATGGAACCCCACTACTCGCTTCTCACTGCCCCCCGGGTTTCCTATACTTCCCACCCGGAAAAGTCTGGGAGGAAAGCACCTGACGACTCAGATCCCACATATTCTGGTATTAGCGCCATTACTAGTAATTTGCTGTGTGACCTTGGCCAAGTCCCTTCCCCTCCCTGGGACTCAGCTTCCTCATCTGTACTATGAAAGGACTGGACTTAGAAGCTCTCTAAGGGTCTTTCTGGCTCAAAATTTTAAGGATTTTCCCACTATCTGGCCACAGCACAAGCAAGTTTTTTTTCAAAACGGCTGCTCCCTGGGGTCGGATGTGTTCAGTTGGGCCATACAATGGTTGCGGGTCAGAGAGGAACTCACAGTCCCTCCAAATGAAGCCAGGACAACTGGAGGGCCTAGGGGCAAGTGGGGGGCTCTGGATCTGAGCAGGGAAACAGCCCTGCCCCACATGGATGGGGTGGGACGGGACCCAGGTGATCCCAACGTCCTGTCCAATCTAGAGGTCAGGGAGGGTCTGGAAGACTGGGGGGCATCGGCAGCAGCCCCTTTATCTGGTTCTGTGCCCCCTCCCGTGGCTGTCAAGGCCTGTTCCCTGGGGAGATTTAGGCAGTTGGGCCACGGAAAATGTCCAACCCTGACTCTGTGGCTTCCTAACCTAGTGGCCACAGGCAAGTCACCTTCTCTTTCCCAGCCTCCTCTCCTCATCTGCAGAATGGGAATCTCCACAGCAACCTCCCAGGACTGATGCTCATTAATGACTGACATTCCCCCAGCTCAGGCATTCTGACTCTGAAGGAGGTAGTTCAACCTCCACCGCTGGTTGTGGGCCTCTTGTGGGGGGCCTGGAGGTGGGCATTGGTTTCTTGGTCAGATAAGAAGCCCCAGAGTCTGGGGGCAGCCACCAGCATGCTGGCCACAGATCTGGGTCAGTCTCCCCTCATTGGGCTCCTCCTTGGACTTTTTTTTTTTGGCCACGCCGTGCAGCATGCGGGATCTTAGTTCCCTGACCAGGGATGGAACCCAGGCCCCCTGCATTGGGAGTGAGGAGTCTTAACCACTGAACCACCGGGGAAGTCCCTCCTCCTTGGACTTGACCTGGCCCATCCAGGATTCAGAGAGTCCCAGAGGGGAGACATAACCAAGCCTTGCCCAAAGGTCCCGGACCTGGTCCAGCCTTGCCACCACCTGGCTGTCCAGTCCTGGCAGGTCACTTGACCTCGCTGGGCTCCCCAAAGGGTCAGCCACGTTCTGCCTATCTTTTTTTTTTTTTTTTTTTTTTTTGCGGTACGCGGGCATCTCCCTGTTGTGGCCTCTCCCGTTGCGGAGCACAGGCTCTGGACGCGCAGGCTCAGTGACCATGGCTCACGGGCCCAGCCGCTCCGCGGCATGTGGGATCCTCCCGGACCGGGGCACGAACCCGTGTCCCCTGCATCGGCAGGCGGACTCTCAACCACTGCGCCACCAGGGAAGCCCCATTCTGCCTATCTTGATAGGGCCCTCAAAGCATCTAATTCTGCTTCACCCAGCTGGGAAATGATGTCCTTTCATTCTGATTCTAGCCTTTCAGGAGACTGAGGACAATTTACGAGGTGAGCAATGCTCAGTGACCAGTTGGGCCAGCCCTAGTTTTTTCTGTCTTGAGTCCATTTTGCAACCCCCAGGTCATATTCCTCATCCTTTCTCGGAATCCCAATGGCACGAAAGAGCTCACACGTCGAGCCCCTACTATGCGCTGACCCTCTGCTCAGCAGCTCACCCTTGTTACCCTCTTCAATCCTCACAACAACATTCTGAGGTCATATCATCGATCTTTGGACACCTCCACACCAGACCCCATTCAGAGGGGGACAAGGTCCCAGAATCTGAGCCCATCGCATGTTTGCGATGCAGGAACCTGATGTCACACAGATCTGGGCTCAACTCCAGGTTTGGCCCAGCTCCCTGCAGTTGAAGCTTGGGCACGTTAATTACCCTCTGTAAACCTCCCTTCCCACGTCGGTAAACTGAGGATAATAATATGCGTATCCCCAACTTTCTCTGAGTTCAAGTCGGAAAGAAATCCGATTTTCACTTTTACCAAAAAAGCCTTTATCGTACTAATGTCAGTCTTTCATAAAAGCAAAGTGGAATCAAGATTTTGGAAAGCAGGGGATACTCTTCCCTTTATGCCATTTCAGCTTTTACAAAACACTCGCTCTGCTTTCTGATAGTGGGGGAAACCTGTATCTACCTAACGAGGTGACTGGGAGTATTAAATGGGATAACATGCCTAAAGCAGTGAGTAAACAGTAAGTGCTCAAAAAATGATCACTATTACCTTTTAAGCTTGAAAGTCCCTTAGAATTTTTCAAAATAATTTTTTAGAAGTGGAACCCTTTTTTCAAATGAAATCCGTCACCAAATTCCATCTATTTCAACAGATGTAAGTGGCACTGCCCCAGAGAAGGCCTCCCCTCCCCTTGCGCGGTGCGGGTAGGCCCAGTAACCCCTCCCCTGCCTCACAGACTCTGAGACTACTCCAAAGTTCAAGTTCAAAACTCCCCATTCTAGTCTGAACCAGCGCCTGTGTCCTCAGGACCCTTCCCCATGTTTCTGAGGGAGCACCCCCAATGCCAACCTCCCCCTCTAGCTGCCCCCACCCACCCCTGCCGGGGCTGCACCCACCTCCAGCTTCTGCTTGGTGTCAGTACCCAGCAGGTCACGGACGTCTTCATTGTAGATCTCCAGGTAGGAGGCCCGGACCAGGAACTTGGTGTTCTCTGCACACTGCAGGGAGAGCAAAGATACCTGAGCACCCGCTGCCTGGACATCACAAAAGGACATCGTGGCAGGAGGTGTCCCCAGCCTCACCTGACCCTGCCTGCCTGGCCAGCTCTCCCCTCCTCTCCGGCTTCTCAGAGGGGCATCATTTTCATACTGCCATGGACCCATGCTCTCTCCACAAGCCTCATGGGAAAGGAAATGGGAGAGGCCTCCCCACTGTTCAGGTAGAGAGACCAAGGCCACGGGTAAGGCCGGGACCAAGCACTGGCCCTGGGCTAATCCCCGGCAGTTCTTCCAGTTGCCTGATGTTCCTGTGGGTCATCAAAATGAGTCCCAGGTGTAGTACAGTGGGCTCTGCAGCTGACTCGTCCCTGCTCTGCCATTTCCCAGATGCAGGAATCTGTGCATTCATGAGTGGTCAGCAGGGCACGTCTCACCTGCAGCCTGGACACTGGGATAACTGGTCTGGGCCCAGCCCATAAGGGCTCCAAGCCTTGGCTTCCCTATCTCAAAAATGAGGATAACAGCTACCTCCTGGGCCAGGGTGGTAGTGAGATAATTATGCAAAGGGCTTTGCACAATGCTTGGCCTGTAGCAGCTGCTCAATTAAAAAAGGAAGCTATGATTGTTTACAGCCATTTCTTGGGCCAGCACTCTGGGTCATCATATCCATGTGAAGTGTTATACGAAATGTTAAAATCCAAAAATGGCAGGAGGAAAACACAGCAGGTAGAATTTTCTCAGCTTTAAGTTCTCCCATCGCCTCTTCAGAAACCAGAGCCTGCGTCTGTCTGCTCATCTGTGCCGCGTCAAGCCCACTCTGACCGCATCCCACAACCGCTGCCCAGGTCAAAAGTGCTCTGGGATCATTCACGGTAACGCCTGGGGAGCCCAACCCTGCCCCTTCCATCCCCCGGGCCCATACCTGGACGCTCTCGAAAATGTGCTCGAAGGCCCTAGGGATGATGCCTCTTTGGCAGGGTGGGTCAGGCAGGCCCTGCATGGTGAAGGACTTCCCGCTGCCTGTCTGGCCGTAGGCAAAGATGGTGCCGTTGTAGCCCTCGGTGACGCCCTGTGTGGGAGGACACAGCCCAGGGCTCAGCTGGCCGAGCTCAGCCAGGCTTGGGGCCAGGCCCGGGGCTGCAGGGCTGCCTCCTGACTCACAGACTTAGGGCCCCTCCCTGGCTCTCCCACCACGGTGGCACAGGGCTGGGGGAGGGCAGTGCAGAGATGAACGCGGCACAGCTCTGTCCTCAAGGGGGTCACTGCACGGTGGGGTGGGAGACTGTCCCTGTGTATGGCTAAGAGCCTGGCCGCCATCCTTTACTGACTGTGCCCTTGGCCTGTCCTTATTCAGGCACATGGAGCCTCAGCCTCCTCACCTGTAACAAAGGGTAAGAACAGCACCTCCCCTGAGGCTGTCGGGAGCTGTACACAGGAATTATTTCACGTGCTGGCACACGAAGTGCTGGCACACAGAGGTAGGTGCTCCCTAAATGTCTGCCTGGAATGTGCGGGAGACAAGACATATACACGTGATCCTCATATGAGGTGGAGGTGCATGTAATGATGGCGTACAGGATGGGCAAGGAGAGGGAGTGCCAAGAGGGGGAGACAGAAGGTGCAGGAAGCGCCAGGCAAAGCTTCCTGGGCAGGTGGAGGAGAAAGGGGGAGCAGAAAGGGTGGCTTGGATTTTAACAGGTGACAGGAAGAGGAAGGCATTCTAGGCTGAGGGGACAGCCTGAGCAAAGACCAGAGAGGTGAGAGGCTGAGAGCAGGTGGAACTTGGGCGAGGGGGATGGAGACGAATCTGGGAAGAAGCAAGAGGCAAACCAGGTGGCACACCCGAGGGCATCCTTCATTCACTGATGCGATTGTTCTTTCCATAGGTACCGACTCTCTCCTCTGAGGGGGACTGGCTGGTGACAGAGCCATGAACCAAGAAGACACCCTAGTCCCTGCCCTCACCCAGCTCAGGAGATCACAAATTCTAGAACTTAGTATGGGGGCAGGGGAATCCTGTGTTAGAATGTGGGCCCAGAGAGCTGTGCCCAGGCCCCCAGGGCCCAGGTGGCATCTGTGCCCGTTTCCACTGCAAAGGCACATCCTGTAGGGACTTCCCTGGTGGTCCAGTGGGTAAGACTCCATGTTCCCAATGCAGGGGGCCCAGGTTCGATCCCTGGTCGGGGAACTAGATCCCACAGGCATGCCGCAACAACGATCCCGGGTACTGCAACTAAGACCCGATGCAGCCGAAATTTTTTAATTAAAAATATTAAAGAAAGGGCTTCCCTGGTGGTGCAGTGGTTAAGGGTTCGCCTGCCAATGCAGGGGACGTGGGTTCATGCCCCGGTCCGGGAAGATCCCACATGCCGTGGACAGGCTAGGCCCGTGAGCCACAACGTCTGGAGCCTGTGCTCCGCAACAAGAGAAGCTGCTACAGTGAGAGGCCCGCACACCGCGATGAAGAGTGGCCCCCGCTCGCCGCAACTGGAGAAAGCCCTTGCACTGCACAGAAACGAAGACCCAACGAAGATCCTTTCTAAAAAAATACATTAAAAAAAAAAAAAAAAAGAAAGACCCATCCTGTAGACCATTGCGGGGCTCGGGATCCCCAGGGACTGCTGGGGAAGGAAGACTGGAAGTCACGATCCGCAGCTCATCAGAGGGCCAGGTGCTACACACTAGGATGAGGCCCCTGAGGTGTGGGAGAGCCGTGGCAGACCAGTCACCCAACCAGGAGCCTCAGAGGCAGGGCACGCGAAGCCCCAGGGACAACACGGTGCAGTGCCCGGACCATCAATGTCACCCAGACCTGACAAGGGATCCTATATCAAAATAAATATTTTATATGCACTGTCCAGTAGGGCAGCCACCAGCCACACCAGAAGTGCGCCTGATGCGACTGAGGAACTGAATTTATGTTAATTTACATTTAAAAACTGAAGCAGTGTAAAATATTTTCCCATCAAACACAACTTTATTTTTTTGTGTTTCATTTCATTTGAACTATGGACACTTAAACACCTGAACTGAGATGTGCGATAAGTATGAAACACACGCCCAATTTCGAAGACTTATTATGAAGAAACAATGTAAACTATCTCCCTAATAGCTACTATACCATGATAGTATCTATTATTATGTTTTATTGAAATGATAATATTTTGGATACTATTGGGTCAAATAAAAGGTCAAATAAAATGGATTATTAAAATTAATTTCAGGGACTTACCTGGTGGTGCAGTGGTTAACAATCCGCCTGCCAATGCAGGGGACATGGGCTCGATCTCTGGTCCAGGAAGATCCCACATGCCACGGAGCAACTAAGCCTGTGCACCACAACTACTGAGCCTGCGCTCTACAGCCCGTGAGCCACAACTACTGAGCCCGCATGCCACAACTACTGAAGCCCGCACGCCTAGAGCCCGTGCTCCACAACAAGAGAAGCCACCGCAATGAGAAGCCCACGCACCGCAGTGAAGAGCAGCCCCCACTCGCCGCAATTGGAGAAAGCCTGCGCGCAGCAACGAAGACCCAACACAGCCAAAAATGAATAAATAAATAAATTTATATTAAAAAAAATCAAATAAAACTGAAATTCAGTTCCTCAAAAGCAATAGCCTCATGTCAAGTGCTCACTTGCCACATATGGCTGGTAGTCCCTAACTGGACAGCCCAGATACGGAACATTTCCACCACTGCAGAAAGTTCTGCAGAACCACGCTGCTGTGAAGTAGAAGACAACTTTACATGCATTAAGGCAAAACATAAGATTTCAGAAACGCTTCACCCATCAACTGATACCTCCAGACCCACCAGAGACGTGCGCACACACGGAGCAGGTCCTAAATGCCAGCCACTGTCCACCCCGGGTTCTGCCATGTTCCCCGTATTATTATTTACTAAATGATTTTCATGAAATCAAACTGTTAATTGACTCTCCTGTTAACTTGATGTCATCCTCAGCAGTAATTCCCGTGAAGCTGCATTACAGGCTGGACATGCTAAATATTTCTTCTACTTCTCATTAAAATCAACGCATAACTATTGAAATTGAAATGACAGCATCTGTGCTAAATTGCCTCACGTCCCCTTTCTGTCCTCTCCCAAACGAACAGTTTTGTGTTCCATCCAGGGGCCAAATTCTACTGCATCGATGTCTCTGGACACGAGGCCCGTCCTCAGTCTGTCCTGGTAGAAGCCATGGGACCTGGTCCCCGCGTGGGTTGGGTGGTGGGTCATCAGAGGCGACTCTAAGGTCATGGGTGTGAAGCGGGGAGGACGGGGAAATGGCAAAGCCACTGGCTGGGAAAGAACCCACAGACCAGGCAGCGGGCCAGGTGTGGAGGCGAGGAGCTCAGGGTAGGACATGCTGAGTCGGCTGAAAGGTGGGTCTGAGGTGGACAGCTCCCAGGACAGTGGAAGAGGTCACCCAGTGACAGAGGAGATCAGGAACAGAGCCTGGATTTAAGGGTGGGGGTGGGGGTGGGGAAGGGAAGGGTCAGTCCGAAGTGCTGGGGCCTTCGTGCAGTAGGAACTGAAGGGAAGGGCCTGGGCAGGAGGCTGCTTGGAGGTGGTCAGAGCCCAGCAGGAGAGACACACAGCCGCCCGGCCTAAGGATGCAGCTACTCCTGGCTCCAAGTTGCTGAACCATGCTTTGCATATGATTCACATGCCGCTCATTTAATAGAGGCAGCAGGATGGAGCGTGGGGACCTGGCACTGCGCTGGGGATCAAAACCACCAGTAACTCATTCTGTGACATTCAAGGTCTCCGTTTCCTCGCCAGGAATGATCCCTCCAGCTCTACATATGTCGGGTGAAGATCAAATGCTACATGCTGGTCTCCACCTGAAAGGCCCTTTCCTCTACCTTCTTGCCTGGCTGACTCCTCTCATCCCGGTCTCAGCTTAGATCTCACCACTTCCAGGAAGTCCTCCCTGCTTTCCCATCCCCTCCAAGCCCAGGTTTGCTAGCCTTCTCTATGCTGCCAGAAAGTCCCCCAGGATTCTCCTCTCACTCATCACCCTGGCTTGTAGCTACTAGCTTAGCTGCTCCCCCACCTGATCATGAGCTGGCTGAGGGTGGCGCTCCCCACGCCTAGGATGGGGCCTGGTATGAGAACACTATTTGTTAGCTGAATGAATGAATGAATGAAAAGGAACATATGTCATGTTGAGTTTGAGGCTCTGTGGGGTGACTGGAGGTGGGGGTCTGACAGAATCCCCTGTAGCAGTGAACTCGGGACAGAAGTGAGAGCTGGAGATCTGAGGTAGCCACTGTCTCCTTAGGTCTCCCCCTCTGGGCTGGGGCTTCCTGGGAACCTTAACCAAGGGAGGCTTGCTCAGGGGAATTATTTCCACGATGCGGAGGGGAACCCATGAGCAAGGCTGAGGCCCTGGAGAAGGCAAAGCCAAGGAGAACTCAATCTCGGAATCTTCCAGTCTCTGAGGGGCGACCCTGGACGGGGAAGCAGAGGGGCCCTGGGGACAGAGCTACAGCAGGTTGCTGGAAGCATCAGGGTGGCTGACTCTGACTCACCGTGCAGAATGGTCTTCTAGGAGCTAAGAAGCCAAGGTGGAGCAGGCAGCTCTGGGAAGAGAGAGCTCCTGCCATCCAAGGACCATTCAAGGTGGACATTCAAGGACCCGGGGTAGGGGGGCGGCTGGACCAGAGGACCGATTCTGGTCCCTTCCAGCCTGGGAGTCCAGGATGGTAGGACAGCCTGGCCATCCCCAGAGCGTGGTACCACCCTCTGGGGAGAGCTGCCCTCTTTCCCTGGGCATCTTCTACAGTCACGCCCTCACCACTGGGGGGCTCTGGGTTCCAGAACACTTCCACCCTCACAGGCGGTTTTGACTGTGGCCAAAGGAGGTGCTCTGGGGGATGCTAACTGGCCTGCCGGCCAAAACAAAAAGGTTCCACAGGCAAATACCTTTTGGAAATGCTGGGTTAAATAAGCCAAACGATTTTCTCCACCGCAAGACTCCCCAGAGCCTCAAGTACCCTAATGTACAGCTTCAAGTGAGGGAGGGTGTATGCAGCACTTCCCCAACTTTTCCTTTTTTCCTGAAACAACCTGTGACATCTCACTTCACTAGCGATTCGATGCACAGCTGGGGAGATGGTGGTAGCAAGGAAAGAGCCCTTGGGCCAGGAGTAGCTCCAGCCCCACCTCCGCCAGAAACTCACTGTGGGAGCTTGCCATGTTTCCTCCCTATGGGCCTCAGTCTCCCCATCTGTGAAATGTGAACCTCCCTGTCATGCAGCGCCAAGGAGCTACCTAGTGTGAGAGTGTGAAAAAAAGTAAAAGGGGCAGAAACTGTTGTGGCCTCGCTGTTCTTCAACCGCCAAGGAGGAAGGTAAGTCAGACCAAAGGTAAAGGGTTTCCAGTTCTCCAGGACCAAGGCCAGGCCAGCAGCCTTCTCTCTGCAGAAGCAGGGAACTAGTGAGGGGGCGGAGGAGAAAGGAGAGGGGGAGGGGGAGGGGGAGGAGACCTGGGGCTCTTAAGAGGAGGAGGCTGGGGAAGTGGCTGGAGCTTTTAGAGAAGTCCTGAAGGTGTTGGGTGAGGGTGGAGGGCAAGTGGTCTTGGGGGCTGGAGTTCCTGTGGGAAGCAGGCTGGAAGGATGGGGGTGAGGACCAGCCTTGGCACTGGGGGCAGTGGAGACATTGTAGACGGGTTCCAGCTGTCTGCTGACAGAAGTCTTCAGACTAACCTGCTGCTGTCCACCCGCGCCCCTCCAAAAGGGCCTTCCCGCCCTGCTTGCGGGCAGGGCAGTCCCTCAGGATCCCTCCGAGTGGTTCCAGGTCCCCCAGGTCCTGCCCAGCGGGTCCTCGGAGGCGGCCTCGCGGGCATCCTCACCTCCACCAGTGGGTAGGCGATTTCGTTGTAGATCTGCTCGGTAAAGTGGTCCACGTAGTAGGCGCCGTCGAAAGTGAACTGCTTGGGGGGCTGGTCGACGGCGCCCGGGTTCTGGATGAAGCACTGGCCGCGCGCAGAGTCCACCGTCACCACAGGCTGGCAGTTCAGCTCCAACTCCCGCTGGTTCATGGGGCGGCAGCGCACCACCACCTTCACCGACTCCGAGGCCATGGCGCCGCGGCGGGGGTCCCAGGGGTGCGGCCCGACGTGGACGCCGCGACCAGGACACAGGACCTCGGGGCGGGAGCCGCCGGGGCGCCGGGGCAGGGGGGCGGGGCCTCGCGGGCGGGGTTGGGGCGGCGGCGGGGCGACCGGACTCCTTGGGGGACGCCTCGATAGGAGGGTAGGGGCCGCGGGGGAGTCTCAGGACCCGAGCCGGAGCCGCCGCCTCCTCCCGCTCCCGGGCTCGCCCGTCCCTGAGGCCCAGACCCGGCGCTGGCAGTGGGGCATCAGCGCTGCAGGCGCCGCCGCAAGACCAGAGTCCCCGGAGCCGCCCCAGCCGCCCGCTAGCACGGACGCCGCCACGGCGTTCGCGGTTGCCGGGCAACGCCCCTGGCGTCACAGCCCGTGCCTCCCGAACTTCCGCGCGTTCTCCGCGCCCGGCAGGCCCGGAGAGCAACCTCCGGCTGGAGGCCGGCGCGCGGGGGCGGCCGTCGGGGAGGACCGGCACTGGCTTTGCTGGAGTACCTGCCGGCTCGGTGCCAGATGCTGCACAGCCGTTTTCTTCTCCAGTCCCCACAGTCCCAGTCCAGAGAGGTTAAGCAGCTTGCCCGAGGTGGCCCAGGGGAGGCCAGGCTTGACTCCACCTCGGAGAGAAATACTAGAGGAGAGGCCTCATCCGGGGATTAGAGACCTACTGAGAAAGGCAACAGGACCTTGCTGCCCTTTATCCGCATCCCTGTATTGACTCGGGAAGGCTGTCCCAGAGCCTATCACAGCCCCGGGGACAGAGCAAAGCTTCCCTCTAACGCTGCCCCTTGTTTTCATTAAGACTCAAGATTGAGAAACAAAACAAAAAACTTTGAAAGCTGGTCTTTTGGTTGGAGAGGCTGCCTGGCCTCTCTCCCCACCCCCACCCCGAGCACAAGTCCCTCCAGAATAGCGGCCGTCACACCTCCTCTACGCTCCCCTTTGCACAGAAATTGTCAGCTACGTGCCTGCCGGGCACGGTGATAGATGCCGCGAGACAGCCCAGTCCCTGCCCTCCAGGTGCCCAGAGTCTAGTGGGGGAGGCTGACATTTGAAACAAATGTCCCACAAACAAAAATCCCATAAATAAGAGTGTTAACAAACTAAAGGACCAGTTTTATGGAATATCTAGCCAGGAAACCTCCCCCAGGCCGGGCAGGGGTCAGGGGGCAGTCAGGGCAGGCTTCCTGAGACTGAGAGATGGTAAGGTTGAGGAGTTAATCAGGTAAAGGAAGAAGAGGAAGACGAGGAGGCTTGTACAGGCTGTGCAAAGACCCTGTGGCACGTTGCAGGAGCAGAAGGAAAACCCGAGTGGCCAGAATATAAGGACTTGAGTCTTTTTCCCGTAGGAAATACCCACTGAAGGTTTTAAGCAGTAGAGTCATTGCTTGAATCTACCTACCCAATTCCTTCAAGACCTCCTGAGCCCCGGAGGACAGTATCTCTGTCTGGTTCATCATTCAGCAGCAGTGGAAGGTATGGTTGGCAAACAGAAGTGAAGCCGGCAAACCGGACAAAGACCTCGCCTTTCTAAGGAAAAGTCTGTACTATACAATCCGAAGAAATGCATTTTATTTATTTCAAGTCCATACAGTAAGGAGAGCTGGGCTACCCAGGGGACACTGGTTGGAACAGAGAAAACTGTGGTCTATAACTGAGACATTGAGGCGTCTGCACATGTGGGTCAAAAACCTTTGTACTGTGTGATCCATAAATGCTGTGTGAAGGAATGTTAAAGTACTTTGGGAACATTCCTGACACCTTGTCCACACAGATAACTTGTGCAACAAAATCCACCCCTTACAGAGGTTAAGACCAGTTATCAGGTCTTCTTAAATGTGTGACACTCCAGGGCTGTAATCCTGGGCCCCACGTCACCAAACCCCTCTCCTTGCCAGGGAAATGGGAGCCTGGGGCCTCCCACGGGGGACCAGGGCTTTGCCCAGGGAGGAGATGGGTTCTGGTAGTAATGGCCGTAAAATGAGGCTGGGTTCCCACTCACATTCAGTATAAAATCAGTACTGTGGTTCCAGTGAAAAGAGCCCCCAAAGGACAGCCTCCTCCTATCCCTTGTGACAAGAGTGACTAGGCCCCAGCCAAGACCATTTGCTGAGCCGGAGGTTGTAAGCTGGGAACACCAGGCCTGAGCTTCTGAGGCTCCTCCCTTCTTTTTATTCCGTTGGGGTTGCCCTCTTCCTTCCAGGAGTCAGAAGTCTGTTACTTTCAAGACGCTGAGCGGTCACATCCCCTCCCCAGATGGGGGAGAGGGCAGCCCCCAGACTCATGACTTGGCCTCTGCGTCAGGAACAGAAGTTCATCCAAAGTGAACTTGCTCCCTATCTTAATCTGGTAGATTCATGCCTGTCTGTCAAGTTTACTTATACAGGGGAATACCCAGATCCGTCGTCAGTCACCGCAGGGCCATTGCCTTAGACTAGCGTTATTTCCCTGGATGGCCCCCCACTGCCGCTGAGGCCAAGTACCCTCTGGCAGGGCCCACATCAGTTCTATCTTTGGATGATTCCTCCCTGACCCCCATCCCCAAGGGGGCTGGCCTAGTGAAGTGGCCCCTGACAGATGCCCATTAAGGGAAATGCCACCATTGGGGGGCTTCCCAGGCAGCCACCAAACCCAGTCTGGCCTGCAGGATGAGTGGAGCAGGACCCTGGTCACCCCTCTAAGCCTGCAGCTCACTGCTGGCCCCTCCCGGTCAAATGGCCAAAGAAAGTGAACCTGGGGGGGGGAGCAGGGGTGTGTGGGCGGGGATGAGACTGGGACATCCCTTCCAAGTAAGCAGGAACCACAAGCCCGTGGATTTGAGTGGAGAAGAACCAGCCTTCCTAGTCTGAAGGTTCACTGAGATTCTCTGCCCTGTTGGCCCATTCACATCCCTCTCTGCACACAGGCGTCCACCGGCATGTGGGCTTTGGGTGGCACGGCTCTTTGTCCGTCCTGCCCTTTCTGCACCCTCTTAACCCCCACTCTTCAGAACTCAAGGGAAGACTCCTTTAGCCTCAAAGGACATGGGAAACAGGCCTCGCTCCGTCAGCCTGCATGTAGCCTCCCAGCTCCATCACGTCATCCCTGTTTCTCTCACGGAGAGGGTGGCTCGTCCCCATGCCTTCGCCCAAAGTGAGAACTCACTCCTGCCTCCCCAGATACCTCTCCCTCACACGTCTGGCTGCCTGGGTCAGGAGCTCTCTGGAGACGCCCAGTCAGGGCCCCAAGGCCTGGCCTCCTTAGGAGAGGGCTCCATCTCTGTTGGAGCAAACCTTCCCGCCCACCTTGGAGAGCTCCCCACCTAGGAGTAAGGTGAAGCCCAGAGAAGACAAGCACCCAGTCACCCAGCAAGTCCACGGAAGCCTGGAGCTCTGCCTGCCCCTCCTGCAATCCTGACAGGCCGTGTGAGAAGCCGCTGGCGATCCCCACTCTCGGGGTTCCGCCCACAGGCAGGGTAGTGATGGAAGACTGGTCCAAAGGGCAGTGACTGGATGGAACTGGTGCCCAGCGGGGTGACAGAAGGGCAGAGCAGAGCAGCCTGCTGAGGCCCAGGAGCCAGGGTGAGGCGGGGCCTCTTGGCGTGGGGCTCAGCGTCCTAGCCCAGGCCCTGCAGTTCTGCCTCGGACTTGGCATGGCCAAGGGGCCGGAGCGTCCGGGGAAGCCTGCCCTCGGGCCCGCAGTCCTGCTCCTCGTAGCCGGGGTTCAGGCGGCCCATGTCGAGGGAGCAGAAGAGGCTGCGCTCCGTCCCAGCGTGATGCTCCACCAGGGCCTCCAGGCTGGGGAACTCAGCCGGCAGGTGCTGGTGGGGGCGAGGAGGGGAAGGGACTTCAGCTCCAGCTCCCCCTTCCACACAACTGCCCCCTCACACAGGATCCTGCCCCAGGAGGGAGGAGGATATTCGAGCCCAGAGAGGACACTGTCCTGCTCACAGCAGAACCACACCCCGGTTCCCTCCCTTTCTCTCCTCCCAGCCTGGACAGGACTGAGGCACTCGGCGTGGAAGTAAGGCCACACATTTAAAAAGTCCTTCCTGCCCACCCCTGTCCCTGGAAACCTGTGATCAGGCCAAGACTCCAGACCTAGAGACTCGGAGGCTGTGTGAGCTTACGCAAGCCTCTACCCTCTCTGATCAGTTTCCTCTACTGCTAAAAGATGAGTTAGGGTGTGGGAAAGCGTGACTTTTTAAAAGCCGGGATTTCTGTAAAAATGTGAGGCATGACCCTAGCCCAAGACTCTACCTCCCCGGAGCGAGAGAACTTAGGGTGGAGCCAGCAGAGTACAGGTGGGGCCAATAGGCCAGTGGGGGCGGGGCCAGAAGGGCCAAGGACGAAAGAGCTGGATGGAGAGTTAAATAAGGGGTGGGGCCAGAGAGAGCCAATGGGGGCCCGGGATGAGGGTGAGGAGGGCTCAGGCCCTCAGTGGTTAGAAAAGGGCGGGGCTGGAGGGCGAGGGGCAGGGCCAGGAGCACTGTTACCTCCACGCAGTAGCGGCCTAGGTGGTTCCGGAAGACCTGGTGGGGCACCACGCCGCACTGTGTCCTCACCGACAGGCACCACTGGCCACTGGTGCCTGGCTCAGGCCACAGCAGGAAGGCCCCAAGCACGTCTCTCCGCAGCAGGGCGAGGGCACTGGGCCTGGGAGGGCAGAGGGGAGAGGCTGAGGGCGGGCCCCCTAGTCAGGACCCAGCCTCAGCTTGCTTAATGGCATCACAGCTCCACAGCATCGTAAACACAGTGCCTGCCCCAGAGTAGACCCGCAACGGAAGGAAGCTTTTAGCCTTCCCTTCTAAAAGGTTTCCAAGGGGGTCCTAATTGCTGACAACTTCAAGACCCAATCGGTAGAGAGCTGGCATTTAGGGAGCTGAACCCTGTGACAGGCCAGGCGCTGAAGGCTTTACCTGAATAACCTCATTTGATCCTCTCCACAGCCCTGCAATGAAGGTCCTTTTATTATCCCCACTTCACACTTGAGAAAACTGAGGCCCACGGGGGGGAAGCCCCTGGCCTGAGGTCCCGAGGTCAGGAGGCCTCCGCCCAAGTGCAGGGATGGACACGTCTCAGGGCCTTGGGGGAGCCCACAGCCTATTTCT